TAATTCGGAAAGCAAAACACTTACGATGAAAACTGTTAATCGAAGCTAATGCTTTGAAACTTATTGAATGTGCCGAAAATTTTTCGAAGAACATGAAATAGGAAAATGGAATGCATAGTGTTAATACAGATGTAATGGAACTGGAAGAAAACTGATCATCGATTCAAAGTTCTCTGAAGAAGTTATCAGGCCAAGCAAGATCAAAAGGAAATTTTTCTTTAATGGTAACTGATGAACCTGTGAAGTCGGTAAACGAATAATGAACCTGTAAGGTCGGCAAAGGAGTCTTTCAAACTAAGTTTCAATTTTGTAGACTTAAACGCTGCTATTATTTCTTTGTTAGAAAAATTTGAACATCTAGAAAATCAAAGCAAAATTTTGAATTTCACTTTAACATAAAAATAAATAGAAAAACGTTAAACAGATGCATTTAAAAAAAAAGTGCAAGAACCTGTATTCCCTTTTTACAGCTAAGGACAAGAGTGACATATGGCAAGAGTGAGAAGTAAATTTTTCTAAATCAGAAACTACGTTCGAATGGCGAATTTTCAGAACCGTCTATGTGGATGGCCACATTAGCAAAAACCGGATTCTAAGTACAATTGAAACCGCTTCATTTTTGAAATAATTTGCAAAACTTAAGACAAGAAAAGTTTTCTACTTGATGATTAGTTTTATTTTTTTGTCAAAATAAACTGTACGATATTTATTACTTTCTTTGATTAAAAGTATATTTCATGGCGCTTGCAATTTTGTAGTCAGTTTTTATGTGCGATATATGTTTATTACACATAAAAATTATTGGGATTTTAAGTTTTTTCAAGTGTAATATACGTTTAATGGGATATTATGTTTTTATTGTATTTTATGGGTTTTAATAAATATTCGCAATTTATCAAAACAATATGTTTTGATAAGTTTACAATAAACACATGACATATTTTTTATGATAGGGGACGCCAAACCTTTATCTTGCATATACAAAAAAAATCCTTGAACCGACCCTATATAAATATATAGGGTCGGTTCAAGGATTTTTTTTGCCAAAATTGAAACAGTGCCTTAACTGGAATAATTGCATTAATTTTTGAAAAAAAATTAATTATAGCTACATATTGCATTTTTTTAGTAAAACGCATTATTTTTTACGTTTTGACACATTTTGAAACTTATTCCTCAAAAAATGCGTTTGCACCTTTGATTTTAAGGTTAATAATATATATATAATAATAATAATAATATATATATATATATGTATATATATATATATATATATATATATATATATATATATATATATATATATATATATATATATATATATATATATATATATATATATATATATATATATATATATATAATAAAACAATATTTAATAATCCTGTAAATTGTTCTAATAACAGATAACAATAAAAACATCAATAAATTTACCAGTAAAATTTATTTCTATATGTTTTAACTCTTGGGTTTACTAAAATTCTAAAATGTTTTTTAGCCTTTGTTAATAGAGGTAGAAAGGTTCACTTTTTTAAAGTCTGTCTAAAAATGGGAAAATTTATATTGAGTTATAACCTTTAAAATTAATATTAAAAGCTTTTTAAGATAGAAGCTTCCCCCCCCCCCCCCCCTCCAAAATCATCAAAAGTTTTTTAGTATAAGTCTAATTAGACATAAAATTATCATAGATTTCATTTCTGTTTTTTATTTTTATTAAAAATTATTCTAAACTGCAGAATTTTTATATTTTTTGAGGGTTACTTTAAGTGTTGATTTATCTAAAGCATTATTTATCTGTCAAAAGTTGATTTTTTTAAAAGTTGTTTTGAAAAGCGTTGTTTGGGATAGGATGCTTTATTATGTCGTACTTTTTTTCAACTAAGCAAAATCAAGCGAGATTAAGCGACAAAAACACACTTAGGTAAAAGGTATTTAACTAAGCAAGAGATGCCAAAAAGTTGCAGAGTAAATGCTTGAAACAAAATTGCTAGAGTTTGTAAAGCTTGCGTTTTAATAAGACTAAAAAAAAAAGTGAACCAATACATTTTGCTGAATAGAGAAACTTACATAAATGTGCTTATGACTACAATGGATCTGCTTGGGGTATAAAGCTTGTCGGTATAAAAAAATATTTGAGCGTTTTATAACAAAACGCAAACTTTGCTATGTAAATTATTTAGGTGATGGTGACAGTAAGAACTGTTTTAATGTTAAAGATACCCTGGTTTGCAAGTAAAAACACTTGAGTGTGAAAAAAATTTAAAAACCTTAGTGGTAGAGGCAAATTAACAGATGCCACAATTGATCGGTTGCAAAGTTATTTTGGTCTTGCTATTAAAACTAATGCAGGGGATTTAGACTCTATAAAAGCGGGTACCCTGGTATCTCTTTACCATGTTGCCTCAAACAATAAGAGTAATCTGCATTTTCCTCATTGCCCATTAGGAGCTAACAGTTGGTTCAAATATAATTCAAGCTAAGCCAATTGAACAAACACATA